ATATACAACATTTGATATAGCGCCCTATCTAGCTAACATAAGCCACTCTAAACCTGTTTACAGCAGAAACTTGGCGCGACACTCCAACTTAATAGGTGGATTTGTATGAATAAAGAGGTAAATATTATAAATTTAACAGAAAATATTTTGTTTAATACCTGTATACAGCAGAAATTTGGTGCGACACTCGAACTGTGGATTTACCACCATAACTACGGTACGCCGGTCATACGAGTGATGAGTATGTAAATAAAACCCATGCCATATATATACATATTAAGATATAAATGGGTATGTAAATAGAGATATGCTAATTTTCGTAAGTCGTAATAGCGGTTACGGAGTAATGCCTCCTCCGTATGGACTACACCCACCAGTGCACCGTCAACTATCTTGGTCCAGGGGTCTATAAGGGTAGAATGATTCCGAATCGAAAACGCTAATTCTGTGTTTGTTAGCTAGCCTATACAGATACATTTATTTACACAAAGATGACCCCAGTTAAACAGCTGACAGGGCTAGGTCGAGTATGAATTACAATCTTGGATAAGTAGTTAGTACTGTACAATATTAGGTCTGTGCTAGTCCGGCTTAGCGGACGCCGCATGGCTATCTTTATAACGCACATTACAACTCGTATTATGACAACAACCGAGTCACCCCCTTTGAACTGCCTTGAGTACCCCTCCAACCCAACAGACGCGGGTGACATTTATACCCCATAACATTAGTTCGTCCACTACCATTACTTTCAAGTAAAAAAATGAATCTTTTTATGAATATACATAGACCACGGTTTACTTATTACATTTTGAATCAGAATGCAGTCATCTATATAGTTGATTTGTAAAACATACTAACCAAAATATCGCGAACGTGTAGTGAAGTATGTAATTAAATAGTCGATAATGTAACGGCTACGGTTGATGGTAGGACAGGTATGTCTTTATATAAAGAGATTTTGCACCTGTGGAGTTTAAGCTATATATCTATAAATATGTTTTCTCCGAGTGTATCATGGAATTTATAATTAGATAGGGTTACTGTGTGGAGACACTCTTTAAAAATATATGGTCATAGTTCTAGAGGATGAAATCCTTGACACGCATTAATGGTTGGTATGGCTATAGTCTAAGAGGGGAGAACTCATTGAGACATATGAATGGTATGTATGCCTTCGGTCTTTGTAGGAGAAATCCATGAGACACATGAATGGTTGGTATGGCTATAGTCTAAGAGGGGAGAAATCATTGAAACATATGAATGGTATGTATGCCTACGGTCTTTGTAGGAAAAATCCTTGAGACACATAAATAAATGAAGTACTAGATGGAAAAATCCTTTAGACGCATGGATGGTATGTATGGCTACGGTTCTAGAGGGGAGAAATCTTTGAGACACATGGATGGTATGTATGGCTACGGTCCTAGAGGGGATAAATCATTGAGACACATGGATAGTATGTATGGCTACGGTCCTAAAGAGAGAAATCATTGAGACACATGAATGATAGGTATGGCGATAGTCCTAGAGAGAAAAATCCTTGAGACATATGAATGGTATGTATGACTAATGTGCTAGAGGGAGAAATCCTTGATACATATGAATGGTATGGTTACAATCTAGAGGGAGAAATCCTTGATACATATGAATGGTATGGCTACAATCTGAGGGGGGAGGGGGATCCTTGAGACATATGAATGATATGGCTACAATCTAGAGGGAGAAATCATTGAGACACATGAATGATATGTATGGCTACAGGCCTAGTGGGGAGAAATCATTGAGACACATGGATATGACACTACGGTCCAAGTTTGGGGATCCTTGAAATACATGTTTGATATGTATGGCTACATTTCTAGAAAAGAAGTAATTCTGGCGACATATATGAATCATCATACATAAAGTATACGTATAACTGCAGTCCTTATTGGGAAAATCATGGAGATAGATATAACACAATACATTGTTAGCTTAACGTGATATTATATACACAAAAAAGTATCGTTAAGTGATAAATATTAGTTTTTTAATATGTCCAAAGCTAACCAGACTGGGTACACCTGCGCCCTATTGAGCTGTCACATCCCACTAAACTGACCATTACTACGTCATCAGATGAGTGTCCGTCTGCTTTCATATATACAGTTGTGTTTGTCAATAAGTTTAATATCAACCGCACGGAAGTATATATATATATCACTTCAACCACATTGTAACCAACGCTGGTTGTGTTACATTGTTAATTTACCGGGAATCGCATGTTAGTTTCTTAACGGAACTAAAGGCGACAAGTAAACAAAATACTTCCAAATGCGATGCTGCTCAAGGGTCGTTGAAGCTACATTTATCATGTAATTGACCTATAACTGCAAAGCCAACGCAGGCCATGATTTTTGATGGGGAGGGCTAGGTGATGACGGATAAAGAGACTCGGCTGCAGGGTGGCGGGGAACGGGGGGTAGAGAGCAGCTCGGAAACTGAAAGGAGGAGGTTTTCATAAATCAAATTGTATAAACTATATGTTAGTGGTGTTATCTGCTCCACTAGAGCATGAGTAATGTGTGTGTAACGACAGACTGTGTGTAGCTGGCCACACAGAGATAGCACAGAGTCTAATACTAATGTACGTATCGTGTTAGGTGTATAGACCCCTGTTATCACAACACATCTGGTCCGCGTTAAGTTCCCCCCTCCAGACCCCCCCTCAATAGGTCGTAATGGTCTCTAAAAAAAACTATTTAGCATCTACAATCCGACCAAATTTCAATATTGAACATTTTATCATGAAGCACATATATATACTACGATGATTTTCCCGATGAATCATAATCTGTCTTATCAGCGACAAATGCTCCAGCGACCCATTGGCAAGTGTAACATGACAATCCCAACTCTCCTGGACAGGTGTTATCATCTCCTCCTCCTCCTCCTCCCCCTCCTCCTCCCCTGTTGTGCTCTAATCAGACATTCCGATCCCCCTTCCCCGGGTCCCCACCAGCCGAACCCTCAGGTCCCCTCCCTGGCCCCTCCTCGATGAATGGCCGTGCTATCTGCTTGCTTCCGAACCAAGCTAGGTTTCTCTCTAATTGCCTCCACGCATCTTTTCGAGTCGAACCACAAACAGTCGTAATAGCTCAACGTTTCTTTAATGGTTGGAATCAGAAATTCCTAGCGATCCTACTCGCTGGTACTGTTACTTATACCCGGAAATCACAAGGCAAAAATGCAATGAAAACGTATATAGACGAGATTAGCATTCATTTAAAGCTGTGTGTACGCCGCGGCGTTGTAAGGGTTACCTGCTCGCTACACATCTCTTCATTAGGTACTTTAAGTTACAAAAGCATCTTCACGGTTCATTGTCTGATACAGGGCTACCGGTTGCTGTGCTACGAAATCTTTACCGACAGACACGAATTTGGCAAAACTGCTTTCTACGACATTTTTTTCTAATGATTCAAATTGAAAGCAAAATACATAGGAATGATAACCCAAAATTTAAATTACAAAACAAAAAAAACCAGAATATATTCTGTCAAGATCCTTGAAAAAACACCCAAAAAAACCCATTCATAATTTAATGTATCGTGACTGTGTCAAGACAGTTTGTTGACAAGTCAGTCACTTGGGTGCTTAAATGGTTTGTTGACAAGTCACAACGATGGCCAGCATTTTGTTGACAAGTCAGGCACAGCAGTATTCAGACGATTTCTTAACATGATTGTCGAGATTATGTTCACACAATTCGTTGATAAGTCAGTCACAGATGTGTACAGACAGTTTTTTGACAGTCTGTCTCAACTATGTTCACACATGTTGTTGACAAGTCAATCACAACTATGTTCACACATTTTGATGACAAGTCAAGCACAACTATGTTCACACATTTTGATGACAAGTCAAGCACAACTATGTTCACACAGTTTTTTGACAAGTCAAGCACAACTATGTTCACACATGTTGTTGACAAGTCAATCACAATAATGTTCACATATTTTGATGACAAATCAAGCACAACTATGTTCACACATGTTGCTGACAAGTCAATCACAACAATGTTCACATATTGTGATGACAAGTCAGTCACAACTATGTTCACACAGGTTGTTGACAAGTCAATCACAACAATGTTCACATATTTTGATGACAAGTCAAGCACAACTATGTTCACACATGTTGTTGACAAGTCAATCACAACAATGTTCACATATTTTGTCGACAAGTCAGTCACAACTATGTTCACACAGTTTGCTTACAGGTCAGTCATAGCTATTTTCACACATCTTGTTAACAAATCAGTTATTATTATGTTCAAACAGTTTGTTGACAAGCCAATCACAGCAGTATTCAGACGATTTCTTAGCATGACAGTCAAAAACTGTTTATTAACGGTTTTGTTAACAAGCGAATCAAAACGGTGTCCTGGTGTTTTATTTTTTATTTTTTGACAATTCAGTAAAAACAGCATCCTAAAAATTGTTGATACATTATTTGACAAATAAGTTGCAACGCCTTCCAGATTTTTTTTGCTATTAAGTCAGTCAGTATTTTGTCGTGACAGTTTGATGACGGAATTTGAAGGTCACAACTGTGTCCAGTCAATTTGATGACAAGATACGTTATCCACAAGAGGTTACCAGTAAATGAAGTTCACATTGAAAAAATATTTTGTGAAATTATCATAAGACATTCGATTTAATATTGCCGATATATATCCGTGCTTGAAAACGTGACTAAGTATATTTTATCTTTCGCGCGTATCTCTACAATGTTGTGTAATTGAAGGAAATGTGGATCGTCTCGTGAAGATGTTAACTACTTATTAATACTAAATATGTATGTATTGATATATCTGATAAATATATTTGCACAAAGTTAAAACGTGTATATACGAGGAAGTTTCTCTCAGTATGCAAATAGACATACAACAATTTTAAGCTGTTTCTTCCTGGAACTTGTATAAACCATAGTCAAATACAACATTGAACAAGGCGTATTTTTCTCTCATCGATTGTTTTATTTTATTTCTTGAAAGCAAAACTTATCACTGTGTATCGTATGCTCTACACCCAATTAAGTGACCTTGGCCTTGACCCCTACTGACCTCAAGACTGACAATTGCACAACACTGACCAGCAGATTCACGCGCTAACACATGCATACGTCGTTTTAGATATCTACCATTAGAAGCGAAACGAATCTCAAACTATCTAAATTTGTAAGTGCGTCATGCAAGATAATATAGATCTATGTTGATGTTATGAATAAGCCAATTTCTCCCATGGTTTCCTCCATCGGACCATGCTCGGCAATTTCCGTGAAATAACGGAAAAGTGCGAAAAGTACCGATTTTGGGTTCCTTGTGCTACGCTAGAGGAGACTGCAATGCAATCTGGGAGAAATTGTCGATAAGGTGGTTGCCGAAAAAATGTTCTGACTTCTTTCAGGTGTTTTTTTCTCTTTATAATAAAGTTCTTTTATAAATGGTATCAATATGAATGATGCAACCTATTTGTTAGACAAAGGTAATTGGAACATTTCGGAAAATTCCGGAAAGCTACGAAATCGTAACGATCTTTGTCGGAATTTGCCGAGGTGTTTGCATTTATTACATTCCGTTACTAATTACATATACACGTAGTTCCTATAGTTGAGAAACCCTGCCAATAATAAAATTGAGGAATGATCACCAGACTCGTAAGTCACGTGTCCTGCAGTAAAACAGCAATGTTTCACAAGGCAGGTGCCCTTCACTGAAAATCGATCCACAGGGCATCATCATATATAACTCAATACAAGTGTTATATAAATTTTGATTGCGACTCTTACATAATCTAACAGTTTCCGTAAATGTGCTACATTCATTATGAATACCTATATTTCTACAAGAGATACTACAAGATGATTGCACTATATGTTGAAAACGACAAAAATATTTCTATGTTCATATTAGTTTATCAAACTAATATGGTTTAACGCGACATTCGGATAAATACAGATTGACTGAGAGAAGCATATCATTAAAGACGTCCTAAGATATGAGCCATTTTAAAAGCTCCGATTCCATACAGAATACAATCCATATGATCACAAAAAGGTCAATGTGGACATTTTTCTGCTGAAGTTGTGATGGGCATTGGTATGTCGTTCGTAATAATATTTCCGATGGGAGATTCCGCTAGGTTTCGGCATGCTTTTAAAATTACCCATGGTGCAAAGGGTCTAGTGTTGGTCACATGTGTCAGTTATAAATATATTGTCAATGACGTCATTCCAATCTTTGTGCTGCGGCTTTTGATTGGTCGTATATTAATAAGAGGACTTCATATGATCACATGTCTTTTTGAATAGTAGAATTTGATTGGTCGCGATGTTCCATACCTTATACAATAATACACTAATATGTTGGTCCATCCATAGAAAATCGGCGAGTGTATATCACGTGATAATTTTATCCAATCGCAGGTTTTAATTGGATTTAATGCTTCAGTTGACGTTCTTGAGTTCGTATGAAAATCTACCAATGGCTTTTACAATTCCCTCCTTATTGTTTTTACGTTCGCAATGAAGCAGTTTATATGTTGGAGTTCTATGACGTCACATGTTCATACTCTCAAGATATTCTGCTATGGCCATCACAGCTTTGTTGAGATTACCTTGTTGACCGCCCTCTGGACAATGGCCGATCACCACAGCAGTTTTAGAAGCCTGTAACGTCATAGATCCCTGGTCTTTCTTTTTCGCCATGACTGTTTTACCGTCCTCTTCTCTCAGAAACTGGTATTTCGTTCCCTCTACGTATATTCCATTGGATTGGAATGCTAAGAAATCCCTGCTTTTAAAAGCAGAAGCAATGTCAGCACACTCCTGCTGTTCTAATTTGAAGGCGTTTGGATGTCCGTCCGTTGTCCATTTGGCACCACCTTCCAGACCAATGATACATGCGCGGTCAGCGTTGATTCCTCCGCCGTTGTCCTTACTGTAGGCGCGAAGGTTGTCAATGTAAGAATCCCAAGACATAGCGACAGCGAAAGAGTATAGGCCTGAAACATACAAACACAGATTTGATACATTTTATTACATTTCTACCAGTGAAATGTTGAAAAATATTCATTCTATAAACGTGATATTTTTCTCTAGCATTCGTTCATTTGATAAATCAAAACACTGATTACAAACTGTCATTTGCCCAGGGAAAATTCTTCTCAGACATCTGTCCGGTCTACTGCTCAGAATAATCATCTGTTTACAATCACGGAGGACTATTATCTGGGGGAAACACAACGTTTCATTCCACAGTTAACTTTAATTTTCATGGAAGCCAGCAGACTATGCAAATCTTTTGGATTAAGGGAAACGAAGCGCGTGTCAGCGTCTCCAAGTCCAAAGTTAGGCAAAGCGATTGACAGAAAGTATAAAAGAATCGGGGTCATATGTTACAGTGATGAAGTGCAACTTACATAGGTGATGTTTATATATCATCACCGGGATAAGTGGTGAAACAACAAATCTGTAAAGCACCGAATCTAAAATGGTGGGGAGTGGAAAAAAAATGCAATGTTTTTCGTATGCAGGAAATTCAAATGCCATATTCATTTATTGGCTTCGTTAAAGTTAAGCATGATTATTTGTTTCACGAGGGCGCAACAGGGAAACAAATTTTCGTGTTTCCCTGTTACAAGAGAAATACTTTAATTACATCGAAATAGAACAAAAACATAGCAGTTAAGTTGATCAAGACTACCCGCAGCCATGATTTGTTCAAAATGAAGTGTTGATGTCTGGAGCACTTCCGGTGTTACATGTAGGATATACCAGGAACGCTTCCGGTGTTACATGTAGGATATACCAGGAACACTTTCGGTGTTACATGTAGGATATACCAGGAACACTTCCGGTGTTACATGTAGGATATATCAGGAACACTTCCGGTGTTACATGTAGGATATATCAGGAACACTTCCGGTGTTACATGTAGGATATACCAGGAACACTTCCGGTGTTACATGTAGGATATACCAAAGAACCTTCAAGACGTTACTCGACATAGGGAAAATGGATCATGTAAGGGAGACTCAGTGTTTTGTCTCTCTATCATGTGATGTGTTTAATCCAATCAGAAACACTGTAACACAGTGATGGAGTGTTGTAAAGTACAATGTGACGTCTTAAAATGTTTAATGAAATTACGTCACACACTTCCAGATTATGTTATGACGTCACAATAATCTAGATTCTTGGAGGACCTCTAACATTTGGTTTGGTTTGTTTGTGTTTTACGTCCTATTAACAGCTATGGTCATTTAAGGACGTGTCAGGTTTTGGTGGTCGAGAAAAGCGGGAGTTCTCGGACAAAATAACCAACATACCGGCCAGTACCTACGTAGGTCTCAAACCCGCGACTTACTGGTGGAGGGCTAGTGGTAGCAGATTGTCAGACGCCTTCACCACTTGACCACCGCGGCCCTCCTAGAACATTTTCTTAACTATTCGGTACTGTTCTGAACTGATATATTTTTTAATACTGTTAATACTCTCAGAAATTGTGTTACTAGTGAAAAAAAAATCATCTTCTATTTAATAATATTTCAATTAGCCAAATACTTTCTCACTGTACAGTATATACTATCTCAAAAAAAAGGACTAGTACTTTAAGTTAATGGACAATCATAAAAGTCGAATGTCATCGGTATTAGTGCCGGAAACACATGCCCTACCCAACAAGTATATTTTTTGAAATAGTGTCGATGAAAATGTGTAAAGAAAATTGTGCTTTTTAATTACAACTTATGGGGTCACATGCCCGACCACGTGGGTTTTCTCCGAGAACTCCTTTTCTCTCCCACAATAAAACTCCATGTGCTCTTCCTTCCGGGACATGAATGGTGATTAATATAAGTTTGAATACTTATTTTATAATTGTTGTTAATTAAATAAAGCTGACTTATATCACATAAGAAGCAGTTTTTAGATATTTTTCATCAAATAGCCAAACATGAGGACGAAGCGTTCATTTTCGAAAGCATTTTTTTTTAATCCAAACGTTTCACTTCCGATATAAATAATCTTCTGAAAGAAATGTGCTTCGAGAGCGAAGCCCTTGAATTTTTAAGATGTCTCAGACAAGTTTTTTTTAATATATGGGAATTCCTTGGTCTGCTAGGGCCACTTTCATTGATCGCGATCCAAACGGATGAACCGGTTGGACCAGAGTCGTTCGTTTATGAAATAAGGTCGGACTCAGTAATCTGATGCTGCTTTCAGGCAAGCCTCGACTTGGCCTTGCAAGGCCTGCATACACATTTGCAGGTCCGTCAGGGTTTATACCAGATACCAGAAAATGTTACATATAACAAGAGGCCCATGGGCCTAAACGGTCACCTGAGTCTACAGTATTTATTTTTGTTGTTGAAATATGTACCAATTTGAGTAAAACATAGTATAATGTTAACTTAACTTTGTCAGGACCATGAGCTGATCATTCCTAGACCAATTTTAAGTGAGATCGGCCTATTAGAACTTAGTAGCAAAATAGCGGCCATGGCAGCCAAATTGTATTTCTGATTGACCCGAAAAATAACAACACTTTGTCAGGACCATGAGTCGATCATTCCTACAAAGTTTCAGTTCAATCGGCCAAGTAGAACTTTACTTTAAGTTTGAAATAGTTTTTCAAAATGGCAGCCGTGGTGGCCATATTGGATTTCTGATCGACCCGAAAAATAACAACACTTTGTCAGGACCATGAGTCGATCATTCCTACAAAGTTTCAGTTCAATCGGCCCAGCAGAACTTGACTTTAAGTTTGAAATAGGTTTTCAAAATGGCGGCCGTGGCGGCCATATTGGATTTCTGATCGACCCAAAAAATAACAACACTTTGTCAGGACCATGAGGCGATCATTCCTACCAACTTTCAGTTCAATCGGCCCAGCAGAACTTGACTTTACGGACGACGGACGACGGACGACGACGGACGAAAACGGATAGCAATAGGTCACTTGAGCTAAAGCTCAGGTGACCTAAAAACAGACAAACCGATTGTTTCGCATAAATGATCAGGTGACTGTTGTTTTCAGGTCATGCACCACACAGTCTGAATTCCGTGTAAAACATTCTTGCCAAAAAAAATTGGGGGGAATCAAATCGATCCCGTCATGCAACAGTTGTTCAGTTCAGGGTTCACTACGTCCACCTGCTCCTTAACATTGATTTTGTTTTCGATATTGCACAATTCAAACCCTCCTTAATAATTAATTGATTGAGTACTCACCAGTTTTGGTGAGAACTTCTAGACGAAATAATGCACAAAACACGGGACAAGCCAAATGTATATCAAAGTTAAAACGATGCTCTATAGTGTACAGTACCGCAGTTTGTACCGAGAAATCGATAAGATTATTCTGAAATGATTTTAAGTATTCATGTCATATATATATGATATAAAACTCCATTTCGGTGCATTCATGCACAGACGCTTGCCGTCAAACAAGGCAACTTCGCATTCCAGAATAACAGGTTCCTTTTATATTTGTATTGTATAAAGAAATGTTCATCATATTTTACCATGTAAATGTTCCTATAACACAACCAGTAAATGTTTGTGTGACGATTCGATGACATATACGATATGCACTCGTTCACCTTCATCAGAAGCTGTCAAATTCATCTGGCTGAGGCTGATCATGGTAAAGGAGTACATATCGTACACACGGTACAAACAACGGTATATATAGTCTGGTGTATACAGTACAAACAACGGTATATATAGTCTGGTGTAAACAGTATAAATAACGGTATGTATACTCTGGTGTATACAGTATAAATAACGGTATATATACTCTGGTGTATACATTATAATCAACGGTATATATACTCTGGTGTATACAGTATAATCAACGGTATATATACTCTGGTGTATACAGTATAAATAACGGTATATATACTCTGGTGTATACAGTATAATCAACGGTATATATACTCTGGTGTATACAATATAAACAACGGTATATATACTCTGGTGTATACAGTATAAATAACGGTATATATAGTCTGGTGTATACAGTACAATCAACGGTATATATACTCTGGTGTATACAGTATAAACAACGGTATATATACTCTGGTGTATACAGTATAATCAACGGTATATATACTCTGGTGTATACAGTATAAACAACGGTATATATACTCTGGTGTATACAGTATAAACAACGGTATATATACTCTGGTGTATACAGTATAAACAACGGTATATATACTCTGGTGTATACAGTATAAACAACGGTATATATACTCTGGTGTATACAGTATAAACAACGGTATATATACTCTGGTGTATACAGTATAAACAACGGTATATATACTCTGGTGTATACAGTATAAACAACGGTATATATACTCTGGTGTATACAGTATAAACAACGGTATATATACTCTGGTGTATACAGTATAAACAACGGTATATATACTCTGGTGTATACAGTATAAACAACGGTATATATACTCTGGTGTATACAGTATAAACAACGGTATATATACTCTGGTGTATACAGTATAAACAACGGTATATATACTCTGGTGTATACAGTATAAACAACGGTATATATACTCTGGTGTATACAGTATAAACAACGGTATATATACTCTGGTGTATACAGTATAAACAACGGTATATATACTCTGGTGTATACAGTATAAACAACGGTATATATACTCTGGTGTATACAGTATAAACAACGGTATATATACTCTGGTGTATACAGTATAAACAACGGTATATATACTCTGGTGTATACAGTATAAACAACGGTATATATACTCTGGTGTATACAGTATAAACAACGGTATATATACTCTGGTGTATACAGTATAAACAACGGTATATATACTCTGGTGTATACAGTATAAACAACGGTATATATACTCTGGTGTATACAGTATAAACAACGGTATATATACTCTGGTGTATACAGTATAAACAACGGTATATATACTCTGGTGTATACAGTATAAACAACGGTATATATACTCTGGTGTATACA